CGGTCCCAGGGCGATGTGCCTACTTTGTAGAGAGGAAGAAGCGCTTCTGCAAGATGATCCCGGCTCTTGGGAGGCGCTTCTGCGGAGAGCATGGCCAGCAGGAGGTACCGGGCCTTGCCGGGCGGAGAAGATGAGCTCCTGGGGTCAGCGGAGCTCCAGGTTCCCTGGGAGGGGTTAGGGCAGGCGGGAGGCCCCGGCGGCACCACGGGGGTCTGGGGTGGTATGTCCGCCTGAGCTGGCCCCGCAGCACGGGCGGGAGAGGCAGCGCTTGCTCCTTCCTTTGAGCCTTGGATGTGCTAAGGCCATCAGTTCAGCCCAGTAGTAACACTGCCATTACATTATAGGTTTATTCTTTTAGGATCCATTTAAGTATTAAATTCTTGTCTCAGTTTCTCCATTCTGGTTAGCCCACCTACCTCAGAAGAGATGTTTTATGAAACTCAGATGTCCCTCAAGAGCTTTTTCTAAAACAGGAACACTGAATACATGCTGAAGTGTTGTCTAAAACTTCTCTTTTGTAACTAGGAAGAAAATGACAGAAAGAGAATCCCATGTCCTCTTGATCCAAAACAGTAAGTATATGTAAATGCTTTTCCTATTTTTTGTCAGAGTTCACATGATAAATGCTGTTACTTACTTTTCTTTCCATTTGGATTTTAGCACTGTATATGAAGACCAACTACAAAAACATTTAAAAAAATGTAATTCAAGAGAGAAGCCAAAGCCAGTAAGTGCAGTGTAAATTCAGCACTACTTCCTCGCAGATTTGAGACCCTGAACATTAGATACAGCTCTGCAGAGAATTTATTCTGACAGCAGCTGTGAACTGGAGGACAGCAGTCTTAGCAAGCACAACACTAAGGACAGTATGGAAGCTGAATAAGTACTTGCTGAAGTGGAATTCACATTCCACTCTCCTCATCTTCTATGTCCTGTCTCACTGTAGTTCAGTACAACTTTTCAGTTCTCTTACTTACAAATGAAAATGCTGAATTCATTTTTCTCAAAAACGTTCTCTAAGAACAGTCCCTCACAATGCCATTCATTTTAGAGGCTTGGTGAGAGATTGTCCTTGGAAAGCAAAGCTAGCAGGGAGGCTCTAGGTGTTTTCCTCCGTCTGGCAGTCTGCTGCCCTAGCCAACTGCCTGCTTCACTCAAGCTAGCAGTGACTTATGGAAAGCTAGGCTGACGGTTGCAGCCAGTGCTGAGGGAAGGAATAGGATGTATCTCTCAACAGCTGTTTCAAGAAAACGGAAGATGGCTTCTTTATTGTCTGTCTTTCTGCCTTATCAGTATTGCACCTTTAGTATTACCTGGGAAACCTTAAAATGGTCTCTGGAATCAGTCTAGTAAGCATTGACAGCTTAACTGTTACGAACATGTTCAATCTTGTCAACATGTGTCAGAACAGTCATTTCTGCTGGGGATTCAGGATCAGACTATAGGAAAAAAAATTACTTGGAATATCTTCCTATTGCTATGTACCTTATGATAAAAACACTGAAGAATTTAGCTTTTTGCTTCCTGGGAATTAACAGAATCAGATTTCTTTTCTCTTGATTTTTAAAGGTCTACTTTGTTCAAGATATTAATGCAGGTTTAAAAGATGTAGCAGAAATACCGGAAAAACAAGTGAGTACGTTTATTTGTTCTAAAGCTGAGTCCCTACATAACATGTTGCAATTTATCATATAACTAAAGAACTAGCAAAAATAAAAAGGTCTTGTATTTATGGGTGGCGCTTTTTTTTCCTTAAAAAGGTACCCATCTCTTCTCTATCCAAAGAAGAGCTGGAGAACTTAATTACCAAGTTGAAAAAAGCAAGTAATGGTGAGCTTATTTAATACTGAAAATAAGATGTTTTAAAGTTAATTGATTAAATATTTCATTGTTACTTTTGTTGTTAGATATCTGGGAAAATGTGAGACGTTTGGCACTAAACACATTTGAAGTAATTATCAAGATGTAGGCAATCCTCCAATAGTTAAATTTAATCAGAAGAATAAACTAGATTTAGAGAATGATAAAACACTGATCTTCTGTTCACATAGCTAATTTCCCTTCCTTTTGTGTTTTTTTTTTCCCACTCAAATATCACTACAGATAACAATACAGCTCTGTAATAAACATATGATGATAGATTTATGCTCCCAACAGACTATTTTGTTAGTGCTACAAATTGAGCTCATGTCTGACTACTGTAACGTGTATGTTACAAAACCAGAAACTCTTGAAACTGGAAACCTATACCTAAAAGTTTTGCATTTGCATTCAGGCCTGGAACTTCATCTTAAGGAACAAATACTGTCCCACCAAGCTTTACAAGAAGCCTTAAATGACCCAAAGAACGGGGAATCCGCTTTCAAACACTTGAAACAACAGGTATAGTCATTGCTTTACTAATAGCTATAGATGTTTTTAAACATGTGGAATTCTGCTGCTGTAAATTCCAGTGACTGTGCGTGCATAATGCTAGTCACTTCATATAGAAGAAATCTGATATGCTCTATAACTCTACGCTCTTCAAATAATAGCATGTATATAACCTCTGAATGGCTGCTTTTTAAGTGTTACTAACAAAAGTTTATTAGGATACGGAAATAGATTGCAAATTGTGTGGTGTTCTTCTGAATTTTTACTTATTTTATATTAACTCGTAATACATCTGAGCTACAAAAGGTAAAATGTTGTATTTACTAAGAAGTAAATGAATTTTTTACTTTTTCTGTAAGAGCTGGTCCTAGATTTTCTGGTTGTGTAACAGATGTATAAAAAGGATTGGAGAGCCTGAGTTTACCTTCTGCTTTTTTAATGTATATTGAACAGGAATTTTAAGAGAGATGGATTGCATACTGTAGCAAAATAGAAAGTTTTGGGAAGAAAATTTAAAGAGAAATTCTGTTTTCTGGACTTTCTTCCCATGCTCTACTTTCCTATGTATTACAAAATGTGTAACTGCAGCAGAGAGGGCTCTGCAGGCACTGATGCTTCACAGAAAATCCAGTACAGTACCCATATTTTGGATGGCTAGTTTGAGAATCGCAGAGAACAATATTATAATGTGTACCTGATCCCAAAAATCCACTCCGAAAATTTCTGGGTGGAGTTTTGTGAGCAGCGGAAGAAGGGCAGGGTGATGCTGACTAGCCGGAATTTATAATCCCTTTCCTCTGTACACACAAGATCTTTTCCCTAATCCCTCATGGAAGCGAAGACTTGAAAAAGTCTTCTGCAGTTCGGTGAAGTAATCATTTTTCTATCAGGCGTTACAGTACACAGTGTATGTATTTGCTTGGTTTGTAAATAATTTTTTGATGTTTGTAGGCTTCTATTTTAGGTAACATGGAAAAATTACATTTACTTGGTCCAGGAAGATGTTTTGTGGAGTTTGGAGCTGGGCGAGGAAAGCTGTCTCACTGGGTTGATGTTGCCTTACAGAATGTTGAAAATGTTCAGTTTTTGCTTGTGGAAAGGGCAACTACAAGATTCAAGGTAAGAGAGGATATTGTCACATTAGCAGAGTATAATTTTTAAACTGTTGTCATTGAAGCTGTTAGTATTTGCTTTTTATCTTCAAAAATAAAGAAGCCTTTGAAATGTTAAAAGTTTTGGAAATGTAATTGCCTACATTCTATACTTTGCCAATAGCAAATTTATTAGAAAAAAATCCTGGTGTCTAATGTTGGAAATGTGCAGGTGTTGACTTAACAGGAAAGAAGTCCAGCATTAATACCTGGAGCAAAATTGTAATTATTAGTGGCCAGCCTTACTTAATGATCTTGTTCTGTTTACACAGGTGGATGGAAAACATAAAAGGGGAGATTCTATATTTGAAAGGCTTCAAGTTGATATTCAACACTTATGTTTAAGTAAGTTTGTTCTTGGCTTGCGTAATTCTGAAATAGAGGCTTAATTTTAAATTTTGAATACTGGAGTTCAAGTCAATTTATAGGTAGCATGCTTAAATGTACTTGGTTTTGAAGATTATTCTCAGTGGTTGCTTGGACATGTTAATGCTGTGTGTATATACATATATATACACACATACATATATTAAATAGGAATTTAAAAATTTCTGCTTTTTATACACTTATAGGACATCATTATAGGTGAGAAATACCAACACAAAAACATTTTGAAGGTTTTTTAGAACTTGCAGGATTAAACACCTTTGTGTTGTTTGTTTTAGGTGTGCGTAATGAAGCAAGTCATGCATATCATTGATATGCTATGCATATCGATACTATAGAATTTGTGGGAACACCTGTCATCAGGAGATACATTAATGTCACATTTCATAGGCAGTATAGAAAGGCTGAAATGGTTAAATAGATAAATGTAACTATCTTAGCAGAAATGCAAAATCCTGTGTTTCTAATACTTTATTTTAATAAAAGACAAAGTATTTATATCACTATTTAGCTGGAGCTAATCTTTGGGTCACAGATAATTCTGTTAAGGAAAATCAGTGTTCTCTGGTAATTATTTTACTGCTATATAGTAGTGTTGCTGCTCAGAAGCAAAATTGTATTACTTCATAACAGCATTAAAATACATTCTTTGCCTTTGGACAAGGTTGAGTTGTTTAAGAGAAAGAAGAATATGCTTCTCAGCCACAGCATGTGATTCCCTTCATTTGTTTTAGAAAAAGAAACTTTCCTTTTAATAGCTTATAACTGTATGTATAGACCACTGTATTTTTTGTAGCGGTAAACATTTATTTCTTTTTTAAAGTGTGCTGAAATTATATTATTGAGAAAAAATATTGCCCCAACTATAATAATAGAGGTTCTGGGGTTGTTGTGGATTGTGTGTGTTTGCATGTTTTTTGGTGGTTTTTTTTTTTTTCCCCCCTCCCCCTCCAGATAAGGTACCTATTTTGGAGAAGAAAAAACTATCAGTGGTAGGAATTGGGAAGCATTTGTGTGGTGCTGCGACAGGTATGAATTATGTATGTGTTAACTGCAGAAAGTTAGGATACTACATCTTACACTCTGAACGGACTGATCTTCCACACTGTCATTTTAAGCTTTTCTTGCCCTCTATCCCTTTGTTGGTGAATGTAGCAATTATATTCTAAATATCTATTGACTTCAGTGGAATAGTAAATGGATAATAGATGCTGTTTTCTATAGAGTAGAACAAAGAATAGTGTATGACAGCGTGGGTCATGTATGTGTAAACTGTTGAGAGGTTGTTTTTTTTTTTTTAACACAGTTGCCTCTACTCTGAAATATTTTTCTTTCTAGATTTGTATTGGCTGTCTGAATATGTATCCCAAGCAAACAAATGACAAGAATGAGTTTCTGTCCTGATAATTTTCAACTAATAGACTTTTTCTAATGTTATGTCTACTAAGTAGAGAAAGACATCTCAAATATGATACCTATATAGATACTGTTACAAAGATGACACAGTTAAGCATTTAAGTAGTACATGTACATATTAAATAGATTGTGTCCTAGATATAAAACTTTTAGAGCAAATACTTGCATGTTTTACAGGGAGGAGATCCTCCTACAGTATGCCAGTTTGTTAACCAAAGTATTTCCAATTCACTTGTGTAGAACAAATACTCAAGACAAAAAGCCCTCAGTAGCTCCAGAGGTCTCATAATACTCATTCAGCATTTAGGGTTTTCATGTTTTCAAAGCATGCTTGTAATTTTTAGTTATCCTTAAAATTGCTTTTTGGCTTAGTTTGTGACGTACACTTTTATTATCCTTTGTGGGAAGTGCATTCCCAACCATGATACAGCCTGTATAAAATAATGGCATGGTGTTCATCGCTATTTTTTGGGGGCTATATCTGTTTTTTCCCAGATCTTGCTTTGAGATGCTTGGTTGAAAGTTATACAACTTTCTGTGATGGAGAAAATGAAGAGCCTGCACGAAAACGCTCTAGGAATGATAAGACAGAGGTGGCTTCTAACAATTCTGCTGATAATGACAGCAACAAAGACGACTGTAAGCCTGTAGCTGGAATTGTTATTGCACTGTGCTGCCATCACAAGTGTGACTGGAAACATTATGTAGGCAGAGAGTTCTTTAAATCAGTAGGACTTGGACCAGTAGAATTTCATTATTTTCAGAGAATGAGTAGCTGGGCCACTTCTGGCATGCGAGAAACCACAACCAAAGCCTCTACAAGTGAAGAAAGTGAAGATCAAACTAACGATGCCAAAGAACATGAGCAAACATTCAGCAAGACAGAGAGTGGTTCTGATACTTTACACGGGTATGTAATTTTTTTTCTAGCAAATGGACTCCTGTGGAAAAGCAAAATTATGTATAGTGGTATATGAAATTGTTTTGGGTCCTCAAAATGACTCATTTATCAAACATTTTAATTATTAAATTTATAGAAATACTATACTTTAAAAATACAATTTTCATGGACATGCATTTGAGAATATTTAAACAGTCATTGCTTGCCTGAATTGAAATGAACTTGCAGTGATTTCAGTAGTTTTTCTGAGCTTAACTACTAATTTTCATTAACAAAACTATTCTTCTGACACATGTTGTTCGTTCTCCTTTTTATGAGATAGGATACTTACTGTTGAAGAACGAAAGGAGATAGGTTGCCTCTGTAAACTGCTGATTGATCATGGACGGATTGAATATTTACGACAACGAGGATACAAGGCTGCACTACAGTATTATACAGAGTCTGCTGTGTCCTTGGAGAATGTCCTGTTGACAGCTGTCCCAAGTCCATCTTTGATACCAGAGCCGACTACATGACAGGAGATAGATTTGGAATTGGTAGGAAAAAACCTATAAAACTTATCTGGATTTTTTAAAAAGCTAATTCATTGCTTACAAAGAACCTGTTTTTGTCTTTCCTGTACCCAGGAAAAGGTCTTATATTTCCCAGTTTCACTGGGAATTACAAATATGTAAACCAGTTCTCATCAGTGGAAAAATAAAATCCCTAAGAATATTTGAAACCTGTTGTACGCCTCTTTGTTAGGAAGAAGTATACTTGGTATTTTCTTCCATTCACAGTTACATTCTTTATTCATTAGCATTTATGATAGGAGAAGGACCAGAAGTACAACTTTCCAGATTTCCTGAAAGACAATAGGTTAAAATAAGAGAAATTAACAGACTTTATTTTCACTTTGAAATTCAGGATAGCTTTGTATTTCCTCTTAAATTATTTAGGTAGGCCTAGGTACTTTCATCAGCCCATGCTGCTAGGGCAATCTGTTAAGGAAGAAAACTTACTTGTAAACTGAAACTGAGTATTTGAAATATTGATAAGAAAAAAGCTGGCTTACTGTTCTAAATCAAGGGCATTTCAGTCATTCATTTTTTAAGCCATCACGATATATAGAATGAAGATCAGAGAGAACATTCTATATCTGCAATGAACGAAGTTCTCTCTGCAAGTAACAACTGCCACCTGCCCCTCTTATTTTGGTCTCTTACTGCAACGTTTAAGCTGTTACCTTTGAGACTACTAACAGCATTTTTTTGTCATAGTAATTTAGAAATGGGATGAAGTTGTGGGGGTGTTTTGTTTAGGTGACTGGATTTTCTCTCAGGGAAAGCAAGTTGTGAGAAACATCTGTTTATCAGGTGTTGATAATTCATTGCTAAAAAATGTTGTATGCTGGGAACACAGGCATCTCCCCCTTACATCCTTCTTTGATAGTCCCCATCTGGACAGCATCCAAACATAGGGAAAGGTGAGCTTCATGAGACACACAGTGCTGGAAGACTCACGCTATGTAAACTCTGATTAAATTGCAAATACAAGAGACAGTCATCAACTTCCAGTTATCCAGGCTGTAGGTAACTCAGGCACATTTCTTCCAATGTTCCATGGTTCCAGTATGTTCCTATTAGAACATATGCTGTTCATGTGAAGACCTACTGTGTGAACTGGTAAAAGCGCCCCTGTCCTCAGTAAAAATCTTTTTACAGATTTTTGGAAAATGTTAATCATTTATTAAGAAGATCATTCATGTTTCATTTGCATACATATCCTAGCTTGCTTTTATCCAGTTTATCCTTCCCTTCCTCACTGCATTCCAGAGGGATTAGAATTAATAAAAAAGCCGTACCTGTTTTCTTGAGTGACTCCTGGATATACATGTGCATGAATTCAATGCCGAACATTTCCTGTTGCTCCTCCTCTTCTGTATTCTCACATGGCGGGAGTGTTACCTCTAACTCCAGTGGGTTGTCTCTGAAGTTGACAAATCTGATAGTTCACCAGAAAAGGTTACTCTTGCAATAGGTTTTGTCCAGAGAGAGCAACTCTTTTGAAACAGAATTAAGATTCCTCAAACAGTACTTTGAGCAAAATAAAATAAATCTTTTCTTATACTAAACCCACCACTGTATTAGTAGTACTAAGTAAACTAATTTAAGACATGGCCTTACAATAACAGTAGCTGATTGTGGTGGGAGAAAACATTGCAGTCCCCGTCATTTTGTCTTCAGGTTTTCATCCCATTGTCAGCCTTACTGAGCTTCCACAAACATGACTGGATGAGAACAAGAGTGCAAATGCCTGCATCCTCCCAACTTTGCAAGGCAACAGCCAGTGCTGTCTCCCTCTGTTCTTGGTCCATCCCTGGGCCTATGCTTGTATTTGTTTAAAGAGGTGCTGCTTTTTCCAAAACATCTGAAAACAGGAATTGTCTTACTGGGTTAGATGTGATTTATTTAGACTAGCATTCTTTCTCTAAAATGGCCAGCATCCAGTAATTCAAATGAAAATGCAAACAACAGGAAAGTTTCTGTCACAGTATATAAAATAATATTTCCAATTCTACTAATTAAAAATTTACATGCATTCTCTTTTATTTTTCAAATCAAGTACAGGAGAGTTTCATCCATATCCTTATACCTAATCCTTTTTGTTTAATTCTGAATGCTTGACTTTTCAGTGCCAAGTTCTACTTTTTGTCATTTTTATGCTTGTTACATATTTTTCCTTCTAGCTCTTGACTTTAGAGAGTGATATAAAAGGACAATTAAAGGGGGCATTTGGACCTTTCAGAAATGAGAAAACGTATTACAGTCTCCTTTTACATTTAGGACTGTAACTATCATAGCTTACTTCTTTAAATGAGTTGTGCTACACAAAGCTTTCTTGACCAGATCCTCAACTGTTGTGAATCTGTGTAATTATGCTGATTTTTATGGCATTGTGTCCATCTGTACAACTGTGGACATGCCTTTTCCACTTCATTAGCATCACTCTATGATACACAACTCAAGGGAGGCTTTAAAACTTATCTTTTAGTATTTTTATTTATATTTCTGTTGCTTTTTCTTACCTCAGATTTGTCATGTCCTTCATACAAGCTGGAATATCCTTAAGTTTGTTGTTGCTAAGAACAAGAGTATTAAGATTTTTCATATTACCAATGGTTTCTGGTAAAGAGTTTATCTCATTCCTTTGGAGCCATAAAGTGTGGAGATTTTCCATTCTGTAAAATAGGTATTTGCACAATCAATCAAGAAAATTAGCAAATTAATCTTATCAATCATTAATGTAAAGTAATTGATTCATTTTTACAGCCACATAAAGGACTCGCATAAAGAATACAACAATTCTCAAAGAAAACCCCATATCCAAGATAATCACCTAACCTCTAGTCGAAAATGTCATTGGCAAGAAATATTTAACTTGATAGTTGATACTGAATTTATTGTTTATTGAATGGATTATTCCAGCTCATCCAAAATATCACATTAGGGCTGATAAATCTTAAGTTTGCAGTGAGGTTAACATTAAAATAATCTTTTGAAGTAGGATTTAATAATTAGAATTTCAGTGCAATGGAATTGAGACTAAGATGTGAGCTTTAAGATTTATTTACCTGTCAATTGCATCAGGAAGCTCCTGGAGTTTATTTCCCCCCATATCTAACCATTCTAGATTTGGCATGTTGAGAAGAGCTGAAGGGATGGCAGTAAACTGATTCATGCACAAATCTATGTGTGAAAGCTTCTTTAAATCACTGAGCTGAAAAGAAAGGGAGATTTAATGTAAGTTTGTATAGCTGTTCTGTTACAGCAGTGCTGTAATAATGTTACAAAAAAAAAGAAACAATTTTAAAACACTACAACACATTTTGGAGTTAGTAAACACAGAATGGTTTCTGAGTTACATTAGCTGATATTACCTAACAATTACAGTTCTCACCTGGAAGGTAGGTAGGTGGTTTTGAAACCCATCAGGCAGAAAAGTTATCTCCCACCTGGTAGTGAGTGCCCTAATTGCTGAGAAGCTGAATGCCATGACTACAACACAGATACACCCTAAGCCTTGAGAAGAGGAATTTTAAAGACACTACTGTCCTTAGTATTTCATGCTCAGTGGTGTTTCTCCATGCAATATGCCATTTTTCATTATTTTCATAAAAATATTCCAATTTTTATGGATCAAATTGCATGCACTGTATTTTAGAGTGAATCTAGACACTTCCCATGTTGTGAAGTCTACTACTATGGCAAGACATTCTAAAAATTAAACATAGCTTCATTCAGTATTGCAACACCTAAGTCCTTTGGTCAATCATGCCTTCAGGTGCTTTTACAATGTTCAAGTGATGCAAAGATGTTTTATTGCAAATCTGGTCCAACTGTCTAAACACTGAATGCCACTCAAGTACATATAACCCAAAGCTTCACGGTGTTCACATCACCATAGTATCAACAGAACACAACTCTGTATTTGCTATGAGCTGTTAATTTAAAAGCTATCACTCTACATTACACCATGTAACCTGTATCCACATAGATTTTGTAAATTCTGGATTCTGATTAATAGTGCATATTTTCATTTGAAGATTTGTTGTTAGGTATTACTCTTTGGACTCACTCAATTTTGCAAGGCACTGATTGCTGTCAGCTATTGCCACTACTGTTTTTTTAAACAAATTAAAACAAGTAAATACGGTTACATACTTGTCATCTCTATCTAAGAGACTAATACTTAGAGATGCAGGCCACTATCACATTTAGGTCAGTCCAAATTAAAGCTCAATAGTAGGTGAGCAGTTGTTTTTACTCTCTCTTAATCGCTTTCAACATCTCAGAACAACATTCATTCAACTCTTTGTGCATAGGCAGTTGTAGAAATCACACCAACCCTTTTCACAGCTAGCAGGTCTGGTAAAGATACTTACAGTTGTGTCCTGGCATATGGTATGAATTTGTATTCTCAACCATAAAAGAGAACTACTCTGTGCTAAGGCATCAGATCCTCAGTGGGGTAAATCAGTGAAGACTTTCAGCCTAAACAAGTTACCATCAAGTGTATCATTGTCCTATATGACTACCAAGTCATTTATCTGGACAAAATAAAGATTGGCTCCTTCAGCTACTCAGGTATATGTATGTCCTTCTCATATGGCTTCAGTTTGACTAGTCATATAAATATTGTTCACATAGGTGTTTCTGTGGAGTAGTTGTGAAATGAGAATATCAAAGCAAATCTGAAAACATGGAGTGCAACATTTAATGATAAATGGTTTTGGATAAATTCAAAATATGCATTAAAAAAACCAAACCAAAACAAAACAGTCTGTCAAAACCTGAGGAGGAAGATCACAGATACTCCTGTTGACAGCCAGTTCCAATCTTTCCAGACTGACACAGTTACTTATTTCCTTAGGAACAGACTTTATTCTATTGTAACTGAGAAGCAGCTCTTGGAGGCTAGTCAGGTGGCCTGTGGAGAGCACAAATGAGAAATGAGAAATGTTCACGTTCATTCTATTTGAAATACAGCATTACTTGGTTTGTGTTATCCTTATACTGTTAAACAAGTGCTCTGTGTTGTCACTAAAAAAAGATCCACTGAAATTCAAATAGTAGAACTTAAGGACTCTGTAGTACTGAACTGTACTCTAGTTGAGTGCTACAAAAAACCCCCCCAAAACTCAAAAAAACCCTTATGAACACAGGCTACTCGTGCTGTGGACTCAGAACATGAAGCCTGTTTTTCAATATCACTTTTCTAGCTGTATTCTGATGTCTAGTATCTGCTGTGCTTACAAGTTTTTTTCTCATGGGGAGCTTTCATAAAGATATGTCTCCTCCATCCGGCCATTTTTTTAATTTATAGGTAATCCATGGTTTTAAGATCTCTATCTCACTGTCAGATTTAAATCGTCCGTTTTCCAACTACCCAATAGGATTGTTGACAGGCAAAGTGCATGAAAATGGCATGTTTGTTCAAAATTAATTTTCTTAGAAAAGCAGCTTAAAATAAAAGAAAGCACAGCTCACCAATTTCTTTAGGTACACTTTCAATTGAGTTCCGAGATAGATCCAGAACAACAAGATTGTGAAATCTTCCAACGAACTGAGGAATTTTCTGCAAGCTAGTTCTGTGAAGCTGCCATTCCTGGAGATGGACTAGTTTCAATAAGCACGAAGGTAGTGTCTAAGACAAGAAATATGAACCAGAAGAAATTCAGCTTAGTATACAACAAGAATACAGGCTTAGGTAGAAGTTTTATTTGAAACAGTAACAGTCTTGTGATTAAAAAAAAATAAAAAAAGGGAAAAAAAGGAATCTTTCCTTCTTCTCAAGCTATACTGTAACATGCCAAAATGAACACCATCAGTGCAGGTCATTCTGACCACAGGTTTAACCTGCCCACATTTTGCTCCCAGGATTTAGATATCTGCACTACTGTCATTGCTTGAAAAGTATCAGGCTTGCTTTTGTTTGCTTCTTTTTTTTTAAACAAAGCCAATATAACTGAAGATGAAACTGCTCTAAATAGCTTTTTTGCATTTTAATGGTGATCTAAATTGTATTTCTTATTCTGTTAAGAAAAACAGCGAGCATCTGAGAGCAGAGGGATAGAAAAACTACAATGTCTGTATGCTATGAGTTCTGAACAAGGAACACTGGCCTATGGACCGCCAGAGTATTGCTGGGTGTGGCTGTCATTCTCTGGCCTCAACATGGTCTAATTCTCAACACTTCATAGGAACCGGCATCCACATTTTTGTGTAGCTCTGAACAGACTGTTAGCTTCCGCTCTGTGGTTGATTCTACAGTTAGCCGCTTCCCCCCATACATTAGAAACAAGAATAATAGTGTTCTGTGAATCTACTGTCTCATTTTCAACTCTTAGAAAGAGAAAGAAGACAACAGCAAGAAATACTTCCATGCACCTAAACACAGAGGGTTTTCACCTTGATACATTTCAGTAGTTCTGGTGTGTTAATGTTAAATGAGGATTTACGTAATTAAACTCATAATTTTTCTAATGCAGAAAAGCTTTTTGGGCTATATTTTTGCAGAGTAATGCTTAATATTCAGGACTTTAAAAATCAGCTTGTTTTTACACTCTCTCAAGAGTTTGTCTCAATTCATTGTTAGCAAAGCACACAGTGAGCACTTCATAGATTAAAAACAGTACAACTGTGAGTGTAAAGTTGTAAATAGCAGGTTTTTTCATCAGTCATTCAACTCAAGCAACATTCATTCCTATAAACACTACCTTCCATTCTTCTTCCTCTATCCTTAAAATTGCTCTTCCGTCTTCATTAATAACTTTTTCTTTGAGCTTTGCTAAAGCAGCTCTCTCCTCCCAGATGAGTAGTAGCCTACAAGGGAAAGAAGATCTGTCAGTGGTGCAACAATGAATACAGGCAATAATTACTATCCATTCTATTTTCTGGAACAAAGAAACAATAGCCTTTTTGGATGTCAAACAACATTTATTGTATCTGGATGCTAAATATACTATCAATTTGAGGGAAGACAAGAACATAAAGTAATGTTTCGCTGAGGTAATTTATAGGAATTCTATTTTACAGTTCTTCAAATTTACAGTCAGAAGGAAGATATAACTTCATTCACTTTCATCATGTTGCAGCAGGGCAACTGAATATAAAGTCATGTGAAATTAAGTTCCAAAGCCATTAATTTTGAAGAGTCTCCTATAAAGAAAGCCTTCAGTTCCACCAAATGTAAGTGCAATCAAAACAGGTCAAGCAGCTAAGGATTGTTTTAGCTTGATTTCCAAATGGAACTTAAACAAGAATTATGAAAATTAGGCTAATTCTCTTTCTGCTTGTATTTTCCATCAGTAACTTCTGAATTTGTTAATCCATTTCAGACACATCTGACAAACTGGGAAGGGTTCTAAAAATAGAATGCTAAATTTCTTCACCTTTCATGAAACTGCTGGCCAGACAGAAGACTCGCTCTTAATGCCTCCATTGACAAGAAAGCATAACAAATTAAATTTCCACTGGTTAGAGGAGAGAATTTTAGTACCCAAATTTAGGGGATTTAGTATATATGCTAATATTTTTATCACAGAACACAATTCTTAGTTTGACCTGACCATATTGCTAGATTCTAACAGAATTCTGCTGGAGTAACAACTAAAGAATTAGACTCTGGATGAGTTTGAAAAGACCGATTATAGTTTCCTGAAATGTAACATATAGTCTAGCTTTTCACATACTTAAAGATCTTCCATTTACTTACCTTCCTGCAGACCTCTGTCTGAATTCCTTTTCTTTCCGTAATTCTTCATTTATCTTGTGTATTCTCACTTCCCAAAGTGTCTTCACAGCAGTGAATGTTCCAACGCAAACTGCAGTTTCAGTCATGATCCTTACATGTTCAGATTCAGTCACAGGAATCTGACTGAATTTCAGGCTCAATGCATCAGCACATGTATCAGCTACCAGATGGGAACAGTGATGTGAAAATTAAAATACTGCAATATCCACTTGATTATATTATTAAATTTAGTTAATGTATAGAACTGACAGAATTTTACCAACTGCTTTCTCTTAATAAAAATAGGTAATTGCACCTACTTAAATTTCAATTAATAAGAAATGGTATTCTTGCAATCTCTCTGCATTCTTAGTCAGTGAACAACTGCTTCTCTCAGTTCCTTCCAATGGTAAGCTGAGAACTGACCACAATTATTAAGTGCAGATAGGAGCATTCAGTCCCCTCCTAGGGAGAAATTAAACTGTTACCTGCAATTTAAGGCAGTTAAATCCTGGTAGCTGCATCCTGGCAGCTACCTGGTATAAATACTTGTAACTAAAGGAGTTTTTACACTTTAGAGAAACTGAACTGTTGCTGGAAATGAATTAGTATACATTATTTGCATTCATTTTCTTCATAGTTTAACTCATTATAATATATTTCATAGTTAGTAAAGCATTACCATTAAGAAAAGGCTTTTAAAATTCTTCAGATCTCTCTTTGAATCTTCTTGTAGCCCTGCTGAGTGTCAGGATCCACATTTGAAAAAAAAATTCAGCCTAAAGTTTTGAAGTCATCTATTCCTTCGTGAGATAATTAATACATATTTTCCTGAAGAGCAGCAAAGTAGGATACTCAGTCATCCTAATCAGTGCATTCCTCTAAAAAGCATTCTTATTGCCATTATTGTAGTCATTTGGGGAAGGGTTTTTTTTTAAATAGATTGGAGCCAAGATACTGATACTCAGATAAGCTTGGAGAGCTGAACTTCATGCCAACAGCAGTGTACTCTGAACACCGATGATTTGAATGCTCCCTTTCAAACATTTTACTAATACTTGCAGGAACAAGTAAGAAAAACGTCTTACGTATCCATTCAAACTAAAAAAGTGAGGATAACTTTCTTCCAAACAAGAAGGTAGATAACAACAAAAGTAGAATTTCAGGTCTTTTCATACATATGTTTCCCTACTATGATTGCTGCAGGTCTGTCTTTTAGAGCAATCTTTTCTATCATATTTATTCCATTACAATTTTGTGTGGCATGGATATGCCACAATTGCTTAGTGAACATTTTTATGTTCAAACTGTCAATCATTCTATTTTATGTTTTACCATGTCTTTTGCTAACATAGTAATTTGTAAAGCCTGATTATACTGAAATCACTTAATTAAAAATGTATAGGCAAGCAAAGAATAAGAAATGTAAATTGTCAGGATTGCTTCCTCTTGTAAAGACAGTGTAAAAATCAAATTATAATGCTTGAATAAAAAAAAATCTGGTCCAATACTTTAATATTAACGGTTCCCTGTTTGTTAAGGAAAAATGGCAGGATTTGACAGCTGACGCAAATGACAACCACAGCGTGGCACAATGCAGTCTGACATTTGGGTTCCTAAAAAGGGATTGAATGTTTTCCTGTAAAGAGAGGATTGTATCCTCTCTCTTTCCCCTTTTTTCCCCGCCAATGAACGTGATCACATTACTAGTTTGAAGGATTAACTTCTCTTTCAGTGGTCATCTTAGTAATTACCTTTCCCATTCCTCATCTCAATACACAACAGTAATGACTAAGACATTGTATGAGGTTTTTTGCTCTGATTAGTGGCTACAATTTAAATTGCCTTATTTCTCAGCATTAAACTTCTACCGAGATTAAGTGATTTACCTGATCTATCATTTATTGTTGTTTAGAGATATTTTTTGAACCATAAGCCTTTTTAGGTAGAAAACTAGAAATCTTTTTATATAAATTGTACAGGAAAAAGACATTGCGGTGCAAATCTCTAAAGAGATATTTGTTAATCCTTGAACTACTAAAGCCAGTATCAGACTATACAGTCAAAACAATACTTATTTTTAGTAAAGCTTACACTGGGAAACTCTCTTTTGCTGTGGAAAACATATTATTCAATAAATATTGCTTTAGAACCATGAAATATGAAAGAGGGCCTAAGTATATGACTTTGTTTTCAAGGAGATTTAAATATATAACAGGACTAGATCTTACTAGTTGTCAGGAAAATAAAAACCATAATAATCATGCCATCATGGCCAATAATTCAAAAGTGAATTCCCAAGCATGGCTGTAAAACAACTGCAAATTTACTCCCAAGTAATCAGATCTCCCAACAACTTCACCTCCAAGCTTCTGAAAGAGTTTAACAACAACTTACCTCAATGATTTGGTGTTTTCAAGGATTTTCTGTGACTCATTGCATTCTGGGCAAGAGCAGAGGTAAATTACGAATCTTGTCTGTATTACCAAAACCATTTACAACTCTCAGACGCCAATGCAATGTCAGTCTAGTTCTAATTTTAACCTATGCTGAGAATAGAAGGTATCACATGAGGCACTTCTGCAAAACCCCCAAGCATTTACCACTCTTAATGTCTTCCCAGTTTGCTGAACGTGACTGGACTCCCATAAACTCCTGGACTTACAAATTGTGAACAAAAAGAACAAAGGAGTACTTGTTATGCTCCACAATGAAAAATAAGCTAGTTTTGAATTCAAAATGACAATTACTTGCTTTACTCTAGTAATATTTCTCTGCAAGATAACTGAGCTTCAAAGTGCTATTAAACAGCAACATTGACTAATGAAACTAGAAAAAGTATTACATCACTAAGTATTTTACTGGTTACTTTTGCCCATGCCAAAGAATTCCCTTGTTGAAGAATTTTAGTGCAAAATATCAAAGTCCAGATAGAAAAGTAATCTTTATCAGGATATGCAGAGGGGTTATTACTCACCCCTTTTCATGCTTCCAATCATGAAATATTTTTAACATTCTATTTCTTCAAAGAGCCCTTGGAGAAGATAAAAGGAGAACAACTCTGTCAGAATCTGTTTCTTCAACCAAGTGGAAAGAGAGAGAGCGCAATAATCATAGGTCACTATTTGAGGCAGAAGCCATAAAACTGGATAATTCTAACCAATTCTTGCACTGGAGTATAAATGTGAAGATGAAATTTTTAAAATATCATTCATTTGGTTATAACCCTCTTTCAGTAGAAATAATTTTTTCTCATTATTAGCCTTAGAATCTAGCATTACCACATAGAACTTTATAACCAAAAAAACCCTCACCAGTCCGTGAACAACAAACTACCTGAACACCAATACCTATTTGAAAAGACGCTAACTGCTTTAGCTTTAAATCTTCTAAGCTTTTTTTTTTTTTTTTTTAAACTTACGCAAAAGCAAAAATGATCCAACAGGTTCTTTGGTATAGATATTTCTTCTTTCAGTTTTGGTATAGATTCAATCCCCACAGTGTTTTTTAATCAATGTTTTTTCTTGATCTGAAAAAGTCATAACTAAAAACCTAACTACTTAATTTCCTCCTCCTTAAAAGAGACAGATAATTAGAGCTAGGGAAAAAAACCCACCACCTTCCCTTTTATTGGAGTTTTGAGAGACAAAGAAATTTCAGGCTCCTTGTGTGAGCAAAATTATTCTGTCTCAAATATTTCAAAATCACTTTATTGCTTTTTAACATATATAACTTATATTTCCCCAATTTATTTTCTCAGATCAGATTAAAAAATACACTATTCAGACTAAGCCCTTACCACAACAATATACTTGCAGGAAAGTAGCTATTAGTCTGTGTTCTTTTGGTAGTCTTGAGTGCAGTAGGTTCTTTAAGATAAGAAGAAATAGAAGATTGAGTCACCTGTACAGAATTGCCTGCATAAAATTCACAAGTAGAAACAATATTACTACAATTCTTTGTGGCTTTAATTTTTTTTTTATTAGGAATAAATAAATCTGATAAAAATGAAGTAGGTGATAAGCACAATATATTAGTCAAACTTTGCAAGAAATAACCTATATATAAAAGACCCTTATACCACAATAGAAATATAAATAGCACCTTACATGCATGTTCCCATGCTCCCTCCCCTACGTTACCAGCTTTCCTCTTGCTCAGTCTCAGCATCAAGGACAGCAGAGATTCTACCTCTGTTACCTTGTGTCTTGCATCTTCACAGCTAAATGCAATAGACAACTTTGGTCTACAATTTTGGAGAATGCTCCTATAGAGGCAGTTTTTTATATATATAAAGGAGAAAATGTCCATTTTGTGCCTGACAAATTAATTTTTAAGGCCATGTAACTGTCTTTTCTTGTGTCTGTTTGCAACTGATGTTTCTGAAAGGTATTTACATCTAACAGTTTTCTTCATATCTCCTGTTAAATAGCCAGTGCAATCCTCATCATCTGTTCAGTTTACCTTAAAGCCACACAACTGTTGTCTGTTCTGAAGGCATTAACTTGAACCTATTCATTATGTGCCTTGTATCCCAGTTTAAAAAGTCCTTATCTCACATAGTATTTTTTTAATGTTAATTCTTTGTTGTATCTGATTAATCTGTCAAATTCTAGTATCTGAACATCAATGATACAAGGTGATGTAAGCTTTTAGAACACTTTCTGCTTACCATCAGGCTTACCTAATGACAGAATAAGCAATGAGATTTTTTTTTTTTTTTTTTTTTTTTAAACAGACAGATGCTTTTTATAAGAAACAAAAATAACTGGAAAGTGTTTAAGGACTGCAACTACTTCCAGCCTATAAAAAATACAGGATATTCTAGAGAGTTTTAAGGCCCTGATAGTTATCAATAAATGTTATCAGTAAGCATTTGAATAAATATGGCCTCTTCATTTATAATTTGATAAAGAATACCTGTGCAAGTAATTGCCAGGAAAAAGTGGACTAGCAGAAGACTTGAGAGGTTTACTCAGTTAAACAACAAAAAGCTCTCTGGACATCTTACAGCAGAAGCATAAAAGGCATTTTATTTGTATATGATTTTTGCATAACTTCTTTTGGGAATTTGGATATTATCTGTTAAAATAAATTTACGTGTCCAACAAGGAAGAACTATGAGTATTTCCCTTCAAAACAGGTTAATTGGATTATAAATACTGCGGATGTAGATCAGTCATTCAGTCACACCAGCTTCACAACCGTATGTATTATACAAGGCAAAATAAACACATTCCATCACCATATTCAGTAGTCGCACCATGACCTATTAAGCTTGACATTCTGCTGTAGAAGAAATTACAGCACTACTAATTAAAAGAAGTAACAACTAATTGATAGACTGATATCAAATGTTGAGAACTTTTAACCACATAAAATTATTATATAATGTGAGTAGCAAAGGGCAGGTGCTAGCAGAGCCAGCTTTTGTAATTATTCAGTCTAATCCACAAAGTTTAAAGGCATATTCTAGCCATGGTTTCTTTTATTTAAGGTCTAGCAGCATCGAAGCAGGGTTCTCCAAGTAAGATTTCCACAGGTTAGAAAACCGGGCCATTGTAGCTCCATCAATGATGCGGTGATCAGCTGACCAACTCACATTCATTATCTGTGCTTTAAATACTTCACCTTTTCCATTAAACCGAGGAAGAACCTAAAAACGAGAGGAAGGAAAAAAATAGAAATATTAAATGCTTTCATTACAAATCTCTATTTTTTATTGTTAATTTGTTAGTCGAAATTTAAACATTTTGCTAAATTAGACGGCAGTAGTGCCATTCAAAAAACAAAGACCTTCCCGTTATTGTTTGTGCTGCGGATTAGAATAATTAGAATTATTCTAGTCTATTAGAATAATAGAATTAGTCTATTAGAATAATAGACTACATAATAAACAGTCATATCCTGTTTCTACCATCATGGAAATACTGAAGTAGTGAAAATCTTTCTTGACTCAAAAGTTTCTTCTTGAATAGTTTATTGCACTGTTAGTGCTCAAAGTGACGGTTTCTTTAAAGCATTCCCTAAACAAAAGGCTCATAGGAAGAACATAGAAAAAGTATTTTAAATTAATACTAATTTCATTTAAATGTCTATATTAAAGAATTAAAGCCTGAAATTCAGAAAATATGAAACTGCCTTCACCACACAGAGTTCTGTATGGATTCAGCTATCTGGCTCAGGAAATTAAACTTCATTATCAGAATAGTTTTCTCCTTGATGATAGCAAAAATGCTATCGCCATGTTGCAAAATACATTTACGTTGTTTCTTAGTAACTAGAAGGCTAAACATAGATGTGAGTGAAATACAACAGGATTCTAGAAAACAAATCTGAACCTTTGGCATAAGAGACTTCCATTTAAGCATTTGGTGTCTCTGCAGAGTCATCTAAAAACATCACAAAACTTTTCAATCACAAGCTTTATATTACAGTTTCTGTAATATAAAGAGGAAATGTTTATATAAGAAAAACAAAACAAAGGGACACTCCACATTTCATTTTCATTACAGATGACCTCAGTTAGCTAAACACTCACATCACAGATAAATTTAATATACCTGTATCTTTCCAAGTGCTCCAATAGCTACTTCAGGAGGTAGTATCACTGGTTTGGCGTAAGTGCCACCAATCTAGAAAAGAAAAAGCTGGGGATATTAGTTAACAATTTTTTTTTTTTTAAAGCAGATTGCCTCTTGCATTAATTGTACAGGTTTTGTTCATTGCATATTAAACTTTACTAAGGTATTTATTTCAGAAGCAGTTTTCAGATGTAAGTTCTCATTTTTCCTGTACTTACTGTGCCAATATTTGAAAGGGTGAATGTTCCCCCAGTGAGGTCATTTGTTCCCAGTTGGCCTGCAGAGCCCAAGGACTGTAGGCGATTTAATTCAGAAGCAATCTCAAACACACTACAGACTTGAACATTTTTCACATTTGGGACAATTAAACCTTGCTCTGTGTCCATAGCAACTCCAATGTTGTGCGAGGCCTGCAACAAGTTTCATTAACCGGACATTAATATAAGCAGTCAACATAAAATGTATTTTACATAAAAAAGCACTTGAATAATGTCTTCTTTATATACCTTTTTAACCTAGAAAGTGCTATCTGTAGTAAGCAACAGCTCTATACAACTTTGAGGGGAGAAGGGGACGTAAATTTTTAAATATTAGCTTTCCACATCTGCAAAGTGCAAATTGATTTTGGCAACTTCACATCCAGGAAATACAATTTAGCACTGAAAATATTTCACTTTAGGATGATTATATGGGTAACAAAACATGACTAAATGATTTTAAAGAGAACACTAAAATTAAAAAAAAAGGAAACAGAGTTGCCTTTCATTTGCTAGAAGGAATATAAAAGAATTCATCTGAGATATTGATAAAACAGCACAAAAGGACTTTGTACTGCAAGGAGTATGTACACATCACTTAAGAAAACAGACACTCACTGCCCAGAAGTATCAATCCAGCACCTTGTATGAAAATTAAATAATTTTTATCAAAACTGAGTTTAAAATGTGACTTTAATACATAAGGGTTGAGCATTGGAACAGTGGAACCACTGTGTCATTACTGAAAAATTACTGTATTAGGTTTTAAATGTTCTCATTTTAAATGCTTGGCCCATCTCCAGGTGAAAAATAGGAAATCACTATATTAATATGCATTTTTAAGCAAGCCTGAATAACAAAGTGACTCTTATTAAACAAACTACTGAAACAAGATCAATAATAAATCAAGTCCAATCTTAGAATCTGGACACACAAATTATTTTCCAGTACAACATCATAACTTTGGTTCTTACAATTAGCTCAGACATTCTGAAAAGCCCTTGTTAGTTGTTAGTTTAGGTTTTCTTCTCACAACTTTGATCAGCAGTTTACAAACCTTATATGTGACATTTTGACAGCTTTCATCCAAAGAAGCATTAAGAATGGGATACTGCAATAATCCCAGAGAGGCTGCCTGTTAAATATGAAAGAAAAAAAAAAAAAAAAACCCAAAAGATTTTTATGTTTTATAACCGGAGAGATGCATGGAAAGAAAGGAACAGTGGGAGACAATTTAGATTAATAACAGTATGGATTTCCTCAATGCAATCAAATTTGGCTTAAACTCTCCTAAACTGTCTCCTAAATCAGACAGACATATAAAAAGTGATAATCACTTTCGCAAGTATAATTGAAGTTGAATCTGTGTTTGTTATTTCTGTTACACAATTCAAATCAAACATCCCAAGACAAAAGTTATGAGATTCAGCAGCAACGTCGTTCTCAGCTCTCCACTTAGATGACAATTATTTCAAGGAAGTAATATTAATCCCCCCTACAGAGAGCGAGCAGAATGAGTGCTTACATAGCACTCTAACTGAAATAGCATTACCAGAAGTTTCAGGCTAAACTATGCATTCAATGCGTAGCTTAGGCAGTGCATCAGCCTTCACTGATGCCAACAGTTGGAAATGGAACCATGGCAACTAAATGAGTGCAAGTGCCTGGTCTTCTGAGCAACAGAAGAGACATACTCATTCACCTGAGGGATTCATTACCAACAAAAATATAATAATAACAATAACAATAATAATGATGCATTTCACATGAGGTTCATTTTAATGGAGCTCATAAAAAATACTGACAGTTTCCAAAATTTGTTTTGTGTAATTCAAATACCCAGTGATGCTTACCCCCATAATGAATAATGCTTTAGCTGCTCTATCCTTTCCCATTAAGATTTCAAAAATTTTCCATGACATTATATAACCCTAACTACAATTCCAACAGTAAATTCATAAGTGGTTCAATAAACAAGAGAAGTTGAGACTCTTCTTGTGACCTGTGATTCTTCAGATGATAGAGAGGTGCTCCAAACTTACAACAATCACTGATCAGATTTTGGCAAAATCTGCCTAAGTACTCCCTACAGTGCTCTGCTGCACGTCTCACCTTTATGAAGAAAGGCATAAAGGAAAGCTTAACTCCACGAACTTGTGCTAGAGGTTTCAGATCTTCTCGCAACTGAACAAGCTGAGTCAAATCAATCTCATCACAATAACCAAAGTGGGGTATCTTCAGGGCTGCACTCATAGTCTTTACCATTGCCTTGTGAAAACCTGGAAAATATTCACTGACTTGTTAAACCAACAAAATGAGCTTCTGGGAAGTTATGGTGAAATTTCAATTATTTGTTTCCATTAAACAAATTACACAACTTAAAAAAACCAAATCAAAAAAAAACCCAACCACAACAAAAAAAGGACAGGGTAAAGCTCATTTTAGGATCAACAGTTATTCAGCACATGCAACTCAAATTTTACGATTGTAATATTTCAGATTATATTACTGCATATCTCTCCTATGTATGTATGTATGTATTTGAAATCATAATACAGTAATCTGCATTACTCTTTCCAGCCTCTCCAAATAAACATTGCCTGAAAGGCAAGCAAAAACCTTTTATCTTCCTCTTCTAATGTGATTTTTCTTACATTAGAGTCTTTTGTTGCACTCTTCTCCAGAACAAGTGTGAATGCTGAAGTACGCCATTATTAAGCACTGATAAACCCTTAAATTCACTATAATTTGCCACTAATTGCGTAATGATTCACACTGTGACAAATTCACGTTTCAGAATTCCTACCTGTTTCAGCATACACTTGAAGAAACATGGATTAAAGATGAGCAAGTGCAACTTGCAGTCCAAATCCATCAAACCAAAACATGAACAATTATTTCATAAAATAATAATTTCATGCCACGCCTTCTTACAGAGCATGTTTTCCTATTGCTCACTTGCATGACAATAACGTGAAACACACTCCCACCAAAAGGAATCAACTGTTCACTGAGTAACATTTACTAGTAGTCTACTGTGAACATGGTCTCAAGATTTTATATTTCATGATTTACCTGTTATAGGTTCAGTTTTATCTTTTCCTGAAAATACAATGGGTCTGGAAACAGGTACAGGAATTTTGCGTGCTTTGTCCTTTGGAGCAGCTGGCACAGTCTCTGATTTTGGCAAAGGTGGGATAATTTCAGCCTTTGGTGATGGAGGTAAAATAGCTCCTGTTTGTTTGGCCAAGTAATTGAGTATGTCTTCTTTAAGGATTCTGTTATCTTTCCCTGTTCCAACAACTTCACTCAATTTAATCTGAAAAGTACATAACAAGCTATGACACTTCCGTTTTACAGCAATATAAAAATACCCTATATTGTGAGCTATTGTTAAAAATTATTCCAGTTACTGATCTAACATACCTACAGTTTTCTTTCCCTTTCTATGATTTATTAGGTATTCAACATTGTTCAAATCGTCCAGAAGGCCCACTAGGTGTCTAATTGCATACTTTAAGGAAGAAGTATGAATACTACTTACCTCTTAATTACCTCACAGGATCAATAGTGAAATATTAATTTGAGGAAAGCTATTTGTCACTTAATTTTCTCTACTTATTGTTTTATTTTTCTCCTAAAAATGCACCACAAGCTTTCAGAACCAATGGAATATTCATAGATTCACAGGAAAAAAGAACTAGAAAAGCACTTAAAAGATCACCTAGTACATCCTCTGCTCTAATACAAATCTGAAAAACAGAACAAGGTAGCTAAAGCTGAGATTCCATTTTTTCCTCCTCCTTCCAATGTTCCAGGAATCTATTCTGATACATTATTTTTATTCCAAAAAGGTTTTCTTCATCTCCAGCCTAAAGCACCCTAGCTGCATTTTAAGCCCAGTAATTCTTTTCCTATCCACCATCATCATCAGAAAGCACAATCCTCTTCATCTTTACAACAGTTTTTATACATTTGAAAATATTTAAAAACAAGCCATTTCTCACTGCACTTTCCTCTAGATCAATGTTCTCCTAGTCAGTCAAACTGCTATATAAAAGATGGATAACATGCAGCAGGACCTGATTCAGCAAACTTACATTATTCTCCATGGCCAGACGACGAACTGCAGGGGTTGCTAATGTTTTGTGACCTTTTATCTCTTGGTGAGTATGCTCTTCATGAGACATAGGAGGTGTTTCAACAACATCTTCTTCTGGGGCAACTCCTGCAAACAAAAAGAAAAATTTTAACTTTACTACATTACAAGGATTTGTTAAATTCCAACCTCAGCCATTCTGTGATTCTGTGACAGCTGAAGTTTTTAACACTTACTTTGAGCTACTGTGGATGGGAACACAGCATGCTAAAGGCTGCTGCTTAAGCTAAATTTTTAATAGGAAACATCTGGCTTTTGAGATTTTAAATCCTAATAAAATACCACAGCTTTTTCTACTTAATTTTCTTGACTTTATAAAGGGGGAAAAAAATTTCAGTTTTAAGATTTTCAGGAGGAAAAAGTAAACTCCTCTGTCACTGATGGTTTTATGACAACAAACATAAAATACGCAAGAGAAAAAAACAGCTTACAATACCTTTTGAAGCATCGATTTCAATATCCACTAATGGTTTTCCAACATAAGCAATTTCATCTAAATTGTAATGGAGTTTTCTAATAATGCCATCATAACGACTAGTAATAGTAACAGAAGCTTTATCACTTTGTACTTCACAGATGCTATCAAACTGAGACACGCTATCCCCTTCTTTTATATACCTAAGAGAAAAGACACAGGCTAGTATGAAACACATTAAGTGTAAAAGTTTATGCTGTGTATTCTTTTGATAAGTTCAGTTACGTACATCCCCACAACATGAAAATGCATTCCAGGTATGAAGACAAATTCTACATAATGGATACATTTGCTATATACCTTTTGCCTGACGGCTCCAGAACCCTTTGTTGTTGTCCTGGTTCCGGCTGGGACAGAGCTAACTTTCTTCCTGGGGGGTGTGCTGTGTTTTGGGTTTGGTATGAAAGAAGCGTTGATGGCCCATTGATGCTTGGGCTGTTGCTGGGTGATGCTCACATGGGGCAGCGGGAGCACAGCCGGGGTGGTGGACCCAGCTGGCCAATGGGGTATTCTATACCATGTGACATCATGCTCAGTATAAAAACCAGGTGTGGGGGGGGCCTCGCCCCCCCCGTTCGTGACACGCGGTCGGTGGTCGGTGAGCAGTTGCATTGTGCATCGCCTGCTTTGTATATTCTGTTATTGTTGTTGTCCTCACTGTTACTATTACTGTTCTATTTTGTTTTATTTCAATTATTAAACTGTTTTATCTCAACCCGGGGGTTCTCCTACTTGTGCTCTCCCGATTCTCTCCCCCATCCCACCGGAGGGGGGGTGAGTAAGCAGCTGCGTAGGGTTAAACCACGACAGTTGTGTGAAATGATTTAGAATATCATCACACATATATTTTCACTATTACCTTAGTAAAGCAGAGTTTTCTTGACAGATTAAGCCATCTAAAAATAAGGATGAGCCCAGCTTAGTTTGAACCTAAGGAAGTTCTTAGTTTCAAATTGCCAGGATTAGTATATGATCAGTTTCAGTAAAGAAACTGAAAGTGGGAAACACTGTCTTCTACTGAAACAGAGGTATTTTCATCTATTTGTACAAAGAACAAGGCATTTCAACACTGCCTTCCTTCACTGTACGCTTTGATTTTGCTTAATCCATTCATCATTGGCCTTTTACAAACAGTTTAAATGTTCAGAACTTTTACTAAAGTCAATAGAGAAGGGATATAGGATAAAATTATGTGGATTCTCCAGACTAGTCATTTGTTTCTAAAGTTCAGCCTAAGTAAGTATAATAACAGACAGACCTCCTGCACCCTAAAAACATTAATCACTGAGGGAAAGCCTAGATATGGGTGCAGTTAGGGCATCCCATTCCTTCCATCTTTTCCACTCCCAAATAAACCAATTGCAAGTAAACAAAATGCAAAGCTCAGTATATGCAAGGTTTTAAAAAATGGAAAATGAAACTTGAAAAACTTCATTAGTAACCCAGAAAACATATTCTCACATAAATAATTGATAATGCAGCTGTTAAACTACTTGCTGATTTCTTAGTATATTTCTAAGAAAGAAGAGCTTACCATTCTTTTACAGTCACCTCTGTAATCCCTTCTCCAATGTCAGAAAGCTTAAACTGGACAATTTGGCCACATGAAACTTAAAACAGACAATAAGGAAATACAGCATGTTTAATATTAAAGATAAGATATCAGACAGAAAAATCTGAATGCATCAAAAATAGCCTAATACCAGTCATATACAAACCGCTAACATAACACTCATAAAATAGCAAAATAAAATAAATTATTTTATTATGAAAAAGATTACCAGCAGATGTTCTGAATAATCGCTGTTGATGACTAAACTTGAGGGCAGATTTGTCAAACACGCACACATATTTTGATTTTATAAAGTGAATGCTGCTGCACGATCTAACGCGGTGAATGCAAACCTGGGGGAGAAAAGTCTCAAGTGTTAATATAATGGACTGAGGAATGTAGAGCTCATTTAATATTCCTGATGCAACAGTAATACTAAAATAGTTTAATTCTAGTTTATATAAGAGACGTTCTTATGGAAACACAATTATACTGAATACATACTGAATGTACAATAACCATTAAATTAGCATAAGCTTTGCCAGGTCTTTAACTTCTTTCACTAACACAACACATGGGGAGATCAAAGCCACAATAACATAACCAATTAACAAAAATCATGACAAGATCTGGTAAGAGATTCATACTTGCTATTGTTTCTCTAAGCAATTAGTTTAATCAGGACACACATACAAAAAGCATACATGATATCAACTACATCAGCCATGCTTCCATGGATGCTGGAAGGGTCCCCTAGACTGCAGCATATTTTCTTTGTCAGTTCTTATTCCAATCAAAGGTTGATGAGAAGTACTAATTGGAAAGGAAATTCAACCAGAGGGCACAGACAGTTGCTCTTATATTTCTGTTAATATATAGGAGGCAATCATCTTCAAGTAAATAACATTTCACATCAACTTTAATGGCATTTTTTAAGAACTGGGCATAAGATGGTTTTCCTTCATGGTTACAATTATATTTATCCAGAAATCAACTTAAAGGGTCAATGGAATTTTCTGAAAGGTTCTTCAAACAAAACCTTATACTTTAAAGCATCATGTAATCAGTCATGATTTTGGTCAAAAGCAAAGCCAGTAGCACTTGCATTGACACAAACAGGCATTTTATCATTAATCTCAACAGAAGTTAGTTCAGACCCTTTCTTATTTAGTAAGATTTCTTAAATCTAATGTAATTCTGGTGTCATGTTGTCTTAGAGTGCTACAAAATTAATAAAAATAACAATTTATCTGTAGATACTATCTCTAATAAATTTAGAGATACGAAAGGAATTCAGGTGCTACAATGTACCTCAAGTAGCTCAAAACTGTAAAATTTAGAAATTATCTTCTTAGAGGAGCCAGAAAACAGCACACCTGCATGGGAAAGTTCATTTTAACTTTTTTTAAAAAATCCTCTCAGTAATTACAGAGCATATGAAACTTCCTGATTGCCCTCCCTGCCCCCCAAACTGTTCAACTATTTGATTTTATATTACACTTCAAAAAAGTAGATTATTCAGAAAACTACGATTCCAAACTGACGAGGTACACATTTTCTATATTATTTAATCTAGCGTTGCAAGTTATATTTAATATCACCTTTCTTTTAGGAACAAATATTTATACAATACAACCTACCATAAAGGACACAACAAAGTTATACTGAGCTACTTTTCAGCTGCCTGCTACTAAGATTGTATCTACTGATCTAGAATAAGTATTTTTTTAATTCCTACAATGAGCAAACAGTAAATCCTTTTCATTAGTCCTCCAAACAATTTTCCCTATTAAAAAAATCAGGTAAAATGGTAATTTTAAGCTATGACAAATCTTATTTTGTGAACACATTTAAAATTCTCAATCACAAAACTGGTATATACTGTACATCTTCACAAGCCTATTTTCTCCTATTTTTAATTCTGTTTTTCTTCCCACTTGAGTCCATGGTTACATTTTTTTGTCCAACAAGATCTTTTTGCCCCAAACTTACAATAAAACTCTTTTCTCTTTATATGACCCTACATGGAAAACATTCAATATTTACCTGTGAAGATGATCACAAGGAGCTCATCAAATCTCTGAACTATTTCTAAATGTGAAGTTTCATAATGCTTTCCATGTGTTTTTAACATTTGGTAACCAATGCAGGTAGTGAATGAGTAATGTCACTGCCAAAAAAACAGACTGGTTTTGTTACAGAAGAGTTTCAATGCTGTTTCAAAATATATTTGTAGGAATAATTAAAAACTACTGCATTTTTAAAAAATGGAATCTTTTTGGTTTGCAGTTTTGCACATGCTCTACTAAAAAGTTGGTGTGCTAGTATGTTAAAGCAATTATACAGTACCCAATCTCTTCACAGAACAGTGTTCCCTTCTAACAAGGGGAAAAATTAAAATCCATGAAATAAAGAGGCTGTGCTTATTAATTTCAGTATTTAATCACCATAATACTATTTTCTGTGTAATGCCGAATAAGGAAATAACAAAACCATATAAAAGACAAAATTAGTTCTAATATCCATAGCACACCCATCTACATTTCTTGATGTATGGAAAAATATAGTAATAAAAAAACAACAAGCACAGTACTAGCAGTTATGTTTATGTCACCACTATTACACTACATGACAATTTAAACACAATAATGCCACAGTAAGATAACACCTTTCCTGCGCAGTCTTCAAAGTGCAGAGTTACTGTGGCAAGAAGAAACTGAGGGCTCACTCCAGTCTCTCACTGATACTGAGGACACATCAGCCACTGACACCTGATTGAATAAGACTTGTGGTTTGAACAAAGACAACATGTGAGCTGTATGCTATTTGGGGCAGAACTGCCTTGCCCCTGTTTAGTTCAGTTTTGGTTGTTTCCTTAAAAAGAAGCCAACACTGCTTTTCTAACCCACCCTGATCCTAAAAAACTACTGCTAGCCTCAGAACAAAATGTTTTTTATGCAGCCTGCAGGCAACCGATTACCTGATGACCTAACACTGACTTTCAAAGTTAAATTGAATAGTTTGTGCTCAAAGGCAATGACGACTTATTAAAGGATACTCCTCCATAGAACTCTTTTGACTTGCTGTCACATTGAGTCATTTTAATAAACATTTACTTATATTGGATTTGTTTTGCATACACATTCTATATCTCCAAGTATATAGTTGCCTATACACTAAACCAATGTCCTTGGTAGCACGTTTCAGTCAGACATTATTCCTCACTTAAATAACTGGCACCATGTCCTCGTATCTAGGTAACTTATTTCCCTGCTACTTAACACAAAGATGCCCAGGCTCCTTTCTTTTCTTCTTCACAACTTACAGCCCCCATGGATAACCACCATTACTTTGTCCTTCTTCCTCATGCTAGCCAAAGTGTTTGCAAAAACATTGAGAATATTAAAATAAAGTCCTTTAATATTGTAACAACTGTATTATTTCTTGGATCTTATCACTGTTTCACGGTAGATGGTCACAAGAAGAATTAGTATCTAGCAAAATTCAAAATGTGCTTGCAGGAAACACACACTATAAATAGCCAATTCTATAGTTCAGCATGCACATAGATAAGATGAGAATTTTCATCTTACCAGGATCTCCCTATGGATTTAAGAATAGATGGTTTAGTTAGAAAGAAAACTAAAAAGAAGCTGCTATTTTCAATATTCTTAATTAGTAAAATTACTTATATATAACCTAAAACTAGATAATTACAAAAGTATCACTGAAAAAAATTCCTCACTACTATGCTTTCAAAATACAACATGAATTATTATTAAGAGCAAAAATAATAATAGAAACTAGAACTGATCCTTAACTTTTTTTTCACTTGGATTATCTTACAAAAAGATGTTTCTTTTTCTGACATCCCACAAAACAGCAGTGACAAAATTGGAAACCAACACTCTTCACTACAGCAGGAAGACTATAATACAAGAAGGCAGAAGAAAGCATGAAGTCAGTCTTCATGATAGCATATGTTTATGAGATTTTAAGTGTCCTAAAAGGCAACCAAATAGATTCACTTCTTGAAGTATGGTAAGGTATCTCAACTACTTAATTTACAAATATCAAGGCTCCTGGGATTCAAAGAAATACGTTTCCCCTTTCTGCGTGTGTAACTACGCTACGTCTGTGCAGATACAGCATGCAAAGGGGGCTGATGCATGGGCGGAGGAGCGGTGATGGCAGTGTAACGTACAGCCAATGCAATGAATCAGATGAGTAAGAAACAACAGCAGAGAAGGATGTCAGTGGCTTATTAGAGGAGGCACACGTTTCTTTCACAGGAAACATGGGCAACGGGGAAGACATTCAGGGGGCAACAACATGGGCGAGGAAGTCTGTTCTGGGGATCCCTGGGGGGCGAGGACGCTGATCCCCAGTAAGCAGGGGGGGCGGGCTCCGCCGGCACCGCGGCAGCACGGGGCGTGCGGGGCCGGGCACTGTCGGCTGACTGGCTGCGGGGGAC